TCATTTGGATGTTTTGATGTGTGTTTTGAGTGCTCTAACAATCTAACTTCGGAGTACAAATGATTACATATCGTTTAAGCATTCAAACAGACGATTCTGAAGTCTCAGACCGTGATGACCCTCGTCACCAAGCTGGTGACGCTCGTCACCAAGCTGGTGACGCTCGTCACCCGACCCTTAGCGAGGTACCACTTTTTCACCTTGGTTTTACAAGTTCTCATGCATCTTTTTGACCAACTCCTGGCATAATAACACTAAGGACAGTGTTGTTTAAGTCTGGAGGAGGTGGTTACTGACGTTGTGTGCTTTGTATCTGATTTATAGAGTCTTAAAGTTGAGTCAAAAACCTGTTTTTATAGAGTCAAAATTTTGAAATTGTCAGTTTTTCTTGGAACTAACCATAGGACGTTTATGCTTATAAGAACCATTGCCACAGTAGTTGATTACAAGTCTTACTAAGTTGAAAGTCATAGGTAGATCAGTCTAGCAATGAAGGTTTAGGTTCTTAGAGAAGCTGGAAAATTTGTTGTTAGCTCCACCTTAATGAACTTTAAACTTCTTGTCTTGGGGCTTGATTCTTATTGATCTTGATTCTCTCTTTCAGCACTGACAATAAGGTTAAGATACAATCTCTCTTTGATATTCCCTGATGTAGTTTTAAGAGTTTAAGTCCAAAGAATAATGCATTCATGACCCTGTCTCCTCACAAGGAACAACATTAATGAACACACTCAAGAACCTGTCTCCTCACAAAGAACACAAGTATTGAGTAGCACCATATCTTAGACTGTAAAAGATGAGAAAAGAAGTGGAAAAATCGAAAATATCATAATGAAAAAGATCAAGAAAAGAGAAAATATAAGAGCTGTGTTGAGATTGCGTTGTTCAGTTGTTAGGATGGGAAAATAATCTGTAAGTGATTGAGATGATAAAACCTTGATGAGATTTTACACTTAGATAAAAAAATAAGGAGTTAGCAGTAGAGATTTCGGATTTCCTGAAGGGATTTGGATTGGACTTGAGAGATTTGCTAAACTTGTGATGATTAGACTGAAATTTGATCTTGTGTTGACTCTGTGGTATGTGGATTCAAAAGTACTAACTAATATGGTGTTCCTGATGTTTAGCTAACTGTTTCTTGTTTTCAAACCTCGACCCTGTTCTTTGTCTGATGTTAGCTTGAGGGCAAGAAAAAGCTAAGTCTGGGGGAGTTGATATATCTCTCTCTCTAGCTCTCACCATAAGTGGTGACGAGCGTCACCCAAATGGATACTTTCTTCTCCGAGTTGCACACTTCGTTGCTTCATCTTGCAATGCTCCAAAAAACTTCAATATCTCCAATTATGCTCCAGACATGCTATAACCTGCAAAGACTCTACTAGGACTCTAAAAAGACCAAAAAAACTCAATAAAAAGGACTTATATCATGGTTAAAAACCATAAAAACCGTGATATATAGGCATACACCCGAAACCAGCACAAAGAAAAGAAACTGAAAGTTAGTAAACAAATTAAAAACTTAGACAAAATCCTAGAACAAAAATCGATAGGCATTTATTACTCCTCACAAGGAACACAAGTATTGAGTAGCACCATATCTTAGACTGTAAAAGATAAGAAAAGAAGTGGAAAAATTGAAAATATCTGAATGAAAAAGGTCAAGGGAAGAGAAAATAGAAGAGCTGTGTTGAGATTGCTTTGTTCAGTTGTTAGAGAGGGAAAAGAATCTGTAAGTGATTGAGATGATAAAACCTTGATGAGATTTCACACTTAGATAAAAAAATAAGGAGTTAGCAGTAGAGATTTCAGATTTCTTGAAGGGGTTTGGATTGGACTTGAGAGATTTGCTAAGCTTGTGATGATTAGACTGAAATTTGATCTTGTGTTGACTCTGTGGTATGTGGATTCGAAAGTACTAACTAATATGGTGTTCCTGATGTTTAGCTGACTGTTTCTTGTTTTCAAACCTCGACCCTGTTCTTTGTCTGATGTTTGAGGGCAAGCAAAAGCTAAGTATGGGGAAATTGATATATCATGGTTTTTATGGTCTTTAACCATGATATAAGTCATTTTTATTCAGTCTTTTTAGAGTCCTAGTAGAGTCTTTGCAGGTTATAGCATGTTTGGAGCATAATTGGAGATATTAAAGCTTTTTGGAGCATTGCAAGATGAAGTCACGAAGTGTGCAACTCGGAGAAGAAAGTATGCATTTGGGTGACGTTCGTCACCACCTATGGTGACGCTCGTCACCCATAAAGGAAGGGTCGTGGCTGGTTTCATAAAAGAAGGAGCATTATTTGCAGTTCTGGCCCAGAAGTTCCAGTATATGCAAAAAGGCCCCATATCGTGTTTTACCTTATATATTAGGTTTTTCAGCCATTCTTTTGGCAGATATCTTGTATCTTATTCTTTTTGAGAGCTAGAGAGAGAGAGATTTGTAGAAGAGCTTTTGGAGAGACAAATCAGACTCCTTCATAGCAGATTTTGAACTCTTTTATTTCTATTTCTTATTTCTTTTACGCAATCTATTCTTTTCATGATGTTTGTCTCATTCATCATGTATGAGTAGTTTGTTAGTTAAGTTAGGGCTTTTCAAAGGTTGAAGAAGAGTTTGTAAAATTGCTAAACTTATAGAAAATCCATTGGTTCTTCATCTGTGCTTGCATTCATATCGATTTCTTAGACACATCATCTAGATTTCGAAACCCTAAGTTGTTTGATAGATGGGAGATCATTATTAATCACCTGAACTAGTATTAGATGAGCAAAACGCCCTAGTGCAAAGAGATTTGGCTTAGGAGTTTTGTGAACAATTGAACCTGATCATTACTGCAAGTTTAGATTGTTAGGGTTTGCAAAGAGATTTGAAACTCTGTGATTTAGACATAGATAACTTCTGCAATGAGAATTGATTAGTTATATATTTGCGATTCATGTTCAAGACGGTTCTTAATCATTCCTGATTTCATGCATTCCACATTCTCGGATTCAACCTGCGAATTGTCCTGACTTAGCGCCTTTAGCTTTCTGAACTTTAAGAACAAGCATAAAAAACGCCCACTTGCATTTATTTTACTGATTCGCATTACATTTATTACTTATTGCTTAGCTTAATCTGAACCTGAACTCTTTAGTGTAGTTTACATACTCCCTTGGGATTCGATAACCCCTTGTACTACAACTGCTTTGTTGTGCACTTGCAGTAGTTTTATTTGGGTAAAATCTGAGCCCTATCAACAATTAATATTTATATGTACACGTATATTTGTGAAAAAATCGAAGTATGGTTTGTATGTGTTAAAAGAAAATAACAAAGTATATGTTTTGAAATATATATTATTATAATGTATGGTTGATTTTTTTTTAAAAAAAAAAATATATATATATATATATATATATATATGCATGTAGGTATGAGTTAAAAATAAGTGAATTGTAATATTTAGGTGTTAATTAGTATTTCTGATATTTTCAGCAAACATTCTGTTTTTTCACGATGCAGTTTTTGGCGTTTAACAACAATCATTAAAATCATTTCTATTATTTTGTATTTAATAAAAATTTCTTATTTTTCAGCGTTTTATGATATATGGTTTCAATATAATTAACATTTATTATAAAATTTGTGAAATGATATTTTATAAAATTCTCTGGTAGCTCTCCGCCCATCTCTTTATCAATTTCTTTATAGTCCGGAATCGCTTACTTCCACAAACTCTTCGTAAACCGTAGCGGTTAAACCAGTCGGATCTAACCTTATATGTGTGTGATTTAAAGTGTAATATAATATATTTAATATTTGACTGTTATATTAAAAATTAAGAGTTCTTCTGTTTGTAACTTTGATATATTTGTTATATAAAATATAATGGATCACAACATATACAAAACTTGATTCATGAAATAATGTTTTAATATGCTGGAAAAATATATGCATGAAACAATAAATATATGTAAGATAATATTTTTAAATAATTCAAATAAAATTATAAAATTGATTAAAATTATTCTTCTTTATTTTTTTTGTTTTCTTTGACTCATATTTATTTTCTTAACTTTGAATAATATAATAAACATTAAGATCATCTCCAATGTAATTTTCTATGTTTATCTCTAAAATATAGGTGGATTTCTCTCCAATCTATTTTTATTTTACAGAAAAAAAAAGATGATTACTTTTTTCTCCAACTATAGAGGAAAGAATAACATCTATATTTTTTCTTCATTAGAAGATTTAGAATAAATGTGGGTTAGAGATGGTTTAAATCAAAAATATAACCTAAGATTTTTTACAAAAAACTAAAGTCATAAATATTTATTTTTATTTTACTTCTACTTCTTATTCATATATACAATATTATAATAAAAAAGATTTGCTAAAAGGATACTTAGAATTTATTTTTCTATTTGTTTATTTTTTGTTTTATATATAATTTTGAATCCTTGCTATATAATGAGAATGCATTTACATATAGTATAATCTTTTTTTTTATTTAAAAATGAGATTTATTTTTTCAATCTCAAAGATTCTAAGAGTGCAGAATACAAGGGCGGACAAGTTAGCACGAAGTGCTCGCAAGCACCTATATCATCTATATAATGTAAACTTAATTCATCTGGAATGGCTAACACCATTTTAGAAATACGAGGCTGTAGACAAAAAAAAAATTTGTTTAGTTTTAACTTAACCAATGAAAATATTTCGTTTATTTTAGAAAATTTGTCATGTCACATTTAACACATTAAATTTTTTTCATTAAAACTATTTGTCAAATTATATTAAGAATTTTATCAGCCTATATAGAGATCTTTTTTTTAACTATCTCTATTTCTTGGTATCTTTAATTTATTATTTTGTCCATCAACTTATCTAAAGAAGTTTTAATCACCATAAGATATTGGAAATAGAAGCCTTTTTGTTAAAAAAAAAAGATTTTGGAAATACAACAAATTCATACACACTATGCAGGCAGCTAGCGGATATTGATTTTTCTTTTAAACAAAAACATACCCGATGAAAATAAAAATTAGGACAAATGAATGTATGCAAAATCCAAAAAAAAAAAGTTAAGAGAGAAGTGTTAAACCCAACCATTTTCTTGACTTGATAATAAGCTCCAACGCCTTTCTTCTTCTTCTTCTAATCTTCTTCCTCGTCGCTCTCCGCTGCGTCCTCTTTCCCGGAAAATCCTCTCGATCAATTAATTCTTGCGAAGTAAGCTTCTTCAAATTCTCTTCTTACACCAAACTCGAATTGTTGTGATCTCGCATCACTCCTATTGTTTGTTTTCGTAACTTCTCATATCTAATTTCTATCGTCGATCTCTGATTAAAGAGATCGATTAAACCTAATTGTTCTCGTTTACCGTAATGCACAGTTAATTAAGGAACAAGCTCAGTTTTCTCGATTTCGATTCGAAAATTTTCAGTTTTCGCAAATGGAACCTAAGTTTTTGTAAATCCTTGTGATCGAGTTTGACCAGTGACGTATAAACCCTAATTGCGGGATTTATCCACAATCCCACACCTTCAGAACAATCTCGATTTACGAATTTGACATTTCTTGTTCCAATTCGCTGTTTTATGTTCTATCTGCACCTTGAATTGTGATTTCTGTGTTCGTTTGCTTTCACAGGTGAGGGAGAGAGAGAGGAAACCATAGCTTAATTCAAAGTTAAAGCTAATGGAAGTCTGCAATTGCATCGAGCCTCAATGGCCGGCCGATGAATTGCTGATGAAATACCAATACATCTCCGATTTCTTCATCGCCATCGCGTATTTCTCAATCCCTCTCGAGCTAATATACTTCGTCAAAAAATCCGCCGTCTTCCCTTATAGATGGGTCCTGGTTCAGTTCGGAGCCTTCATCGTTCTCTGCGGAGCAACACATCTCATCAACTTATGGACTTTCACTACACATTCAAGAACCGTGGCGCTCGTCATGACCACCGCGAAGGTGCTAACCGCCGTCGTCTCCTGCGCCACTGCGTTGATGCTTGTACACATTATCCCCGACCTCCTCAGCGTCAAGACCCGGGAGCTCTTCTTGAAAAACAAAGCCGCCGAGCTCGACAGAGAGATGGGACTGATCCGGACTCAGGAGGAAACAGGAAGACACGTGAGAATGCTGACGCACGAGATCAGAAGCACTTTGGATAGACACACTATCTTGAAAACCACGCTTGTTGAGCTTGGAAGAACATTAGCTTTGGAAGAATGTGCGTTGTGGATGCCTACGAGAACCGGTTTAGAGCTACAGCTCTCTTACACGCTTCGTCAGCAGCATCCGGTTGAGTACACGGTTCCTATTCAGTTACCGGTGATCAACCAAGTCTTTGGTACTAGCCGCGCCGTGAAGATATCTCCGAACTCTCCTGTGGCTAGGCTGAGACCTGTCTCCGGGAAGTATATGCTCGGGGAAGTAGTCGCGGTGCGGGTTCCGCTTCTCCACCTTTCGAATTTCCAGATTAATGACTGGCCTGAGCTTTCGACTAAGAGATACGCGCTCATGGTCTTGATGCTTCCTTCTGATAGTGCTAGGCAATGGCATGTTCATGAGCTGGAACTCGTTGAAGTCGTTGCTGATCAGGTTTTGAACACTGTTGATGATAAGATTCTCTTCGGGAACTCGGTTGCTGTTGTTGTCTAAACTCTTTTTTTATCTTTTCAGGTGGCTGTGGCGCTCTCACACGCTGCGATCCTAGAAGAGTCGATGAGAGCTAGGGACCTTCTCATGGAGCAGAACGTGGCACTTGATCTAGCGAGACGAGAAGCAGAGACAGCGATACGTGCGCGGAACGATTTCTTGGCGGTTATGAACCATGAGATGCGGACTCCGATGCACGCGATCATCGCGCTTTCTTCTTTACTCCAAGAAACGGAGTTAACACCAGAGCAAAGGCTGATGGTGGAAACAATACTAAAAAGCAGTAACCTTTTAGCGACTTTGATGAACGATGTCTTGGATCTTTCGAGGTTAGAAGATGGAAGTCTTCAACTTGAACTCGGGACATTCAATCTTCATACTTTATTTAGAGAGGTAACACACTTTTGAACAGCTTCATGTTTCAGAAGTTCTTGAGATTGATATTTTCTTAATCTTGTTTGCAGATTCTTAACCTGATAAAGCCTATCGCCGTTGTTAAGAAGCTACCCATCACGTTAAATCTCGCACCGGATTTGCCTGAATTCGTCGTCGGAGACGAGAAACGGCTGATGCAGATCATATTGAATATAGTTGGTAACGCTGTAAAATTCTCTAAACAAGGTAGTATCTCTGTAACAGCTCTTGTCACAAAGTCAGACACTCGAGCTCCTGACTTCTTTGTTGTACCAACGGGAAGTCATTTCTACTTGAGAGTAAAGGTTAGTTTATCTTTAACCCTTAAAACCATAGCTGAAACCTATTTCTTAAGTCTTAGTTTTGACTATTGTTCAAAAATATAGGTGAAAGATTTGGGAGCAGGGATAAATCCTCAAGACATTCCCAAGCTTTTTACGAAATTCGCTCAAACGCAATCTTTAGCTACGAGAAGCTCAGGAGGTAGTGGGCTTGGTCTCGCCATCTCCAAGAGGTTAGAAACGTTTGTTTTTCTTTCTGGCTTTTCTTCTCTTCTGGTATTGATGAAATGTTTGTACATATGAAGGTTTGTGAATCTGATGGAGGGTAACATTTGGATTGAGAGTGATGGTCTTGGTAAAGGATGCACTGCGATCTTCGATGTTAAACTCGGGATTTCAAACGAATCTAAACAGTTAGGGATACCGAAAGCTCAAGCGAATCCACGGCATGCGAATTTCGCCGGACTTAAGGTTCTTGTCATGGATGAGAACGGGTTAGTATAAGCCAAACGCAAACACAAACGCAGAAATTGGCGTTTTGAGGACTTAAAATCTTGTTTTTGGTCGCAGGGTAAGTAGAATGGTGACGAAGGGACTTCTTGTTCACCTTGGATGCGATGTGACAACAGTGAGTTCAAGCGAGGAGTGTCTCCGAGTTATGTCTCATGAGCACAAAGTTGTCTTCATGGATGTATGTATGCCAGGTGTCGAAAACTACCAGATCGCTCTCCGTATACACGAGAAATTCACGAAACGCCACCAACGGCCACTGCTCGTGGCGCTTACCGGTAACACAGACAAATCCACGAAGGAGAAGTGTATGAGCTTTGGTCTAGATGGTGTTTTGCTCAAACCAGTATCTTTAGACAACATGAGAAACGTTCTCTCTGATCTTCTAGAACACCGTGTTCTGTACGAGGCTATGTAAAATGGCATTGCCTCAGCCGCAGAGGGAGTTATCCGGCGCGTTTCCCGGCTTTTTCTCTCCGCCGTAGGACATCGGACGGTGATGTTTTCTCTGGTTTAATGTGTACATATCAGAGAGATTGTTGGGAGCATTTTGGATGATTAAAAACAAGAATAACGAAAACTGAAACTGTAGACCGGTCTGTATCGTGGAGGTTCCGGTTTGCAAGAGGAAGAACCCGTTGGCGGTGAAATTTACCATTTCAATATTGCATGTCTGACCTGTGTTGTTGTATTCTTATATAGTTTACATTAGGTTTTGCACCCACGAGTGGATTTTGTTTTTAATATAATTTTATTAAAAGATTTCAGCTAAAATACATAATTTTAAATATTATTATTGGTCAATAGTTGTCTATAAATATTCATTGTTTTAATAGACTTAACGTGGGTTTATGGAATAAGTCCATTAGCATTGCCTAATGGTATTAGGTTTAATGTGTTCATTGTAAAAGTTAAAACACATAAAAAAGGTTATTATTTCCTATGTTTTCTTTTTTGTCTTTTTGTGATTCTTGGTACAAATTGGTTAAATATTTTTGGCGGCGAAATATTTTGGCGTATGGCAAGTAGGTACTCAATATCCTTTTATACTGCATTTAAAACAAACAGTTTCTCTTTTCCTTTTCATTTCTTAGTTATCATTATCACTATAAAAAATTTTACCCTCTTTTTATGATTAAAATCATATGGACGATATCTTCTTCATCGTCCACATCCACAACTTCGACCATGATATTGACCGTATTTGTGTCATTGCCAGTTATTATAGCTGGATGATGCAACATTCGATTCTGGGAATAATGCAGATCTAGTTGGACGGTTTTAATGGTTCATCATCACGACTTTATTATTCTGCTATGCAAGATTGCAACAAGCAGAACTTGCATTAACTCCGAATAACAGGTATATCCATTTTTCCGATATTGTTATTACAGAACTACATTTCCAAGATGAAATGTGAAAATGATTTTCTCAATCATATCATAAACTCTTATAACTTCTCCATGTAACGCCATTCTGGATGTTCTACTAAATATCACAAAATTTTAATCACTAACTTTTTTGTAGTCCTGAAACCGGAAATGTAACCCCTCGTGTCTAGCTTTCGATAAGATCACATATTTATGGTGATCAAACATTTCTTTAAGTGATTGCCAAAGATGTTCTTTGATAATGTACTCATCTTTTAAACTATCTGAATACGATAACATAAAATATTATTACTTTTACTTTTTTTTTTTATCTGATGTTGATTTTGACTTATTAATGGTATCAATAAACTCATTTCCTTTTAAATACATTTTTGCATTTACTACTTATATTATATAATTTTTCTTAGTAATACTAAAGACGGCAATGTCGAGTTTTGATAAAAGTGAGTTACAACTGAATAATAAAAAAATTAATTTATTAAATAAAAAATTAAAAGTTTGAACAAAATAATAATATAATAAAAAATACTCTCTTTATTTCATATTATTAGTTGTTTTATAAATTTTTTCTTATTTCATAATATAAGTTTTTTAAAAAAAAATCTTTATTAAATACTGTATAATTATGTATATTTTGCAATTTCTTTTATAAATGATTACTTTTTGAAGAAAAGTTGTTTTTTTTTAATTTGTGTGCATTGAACTAAAACAATTTATATTTTGAAATAAAAAGAATAATAACTAAAATACTATGAAAAGATAAACTATCATATAATTGCTAATTGTGTAATATCTTTTTAAGTTAAATCGCTTTTTCAGTTAATCATTTCTATTCCATTAGTTTAATTTGAATATGATTTAATTTGAATATAGATTATTTACTTATTTTTTTTAATCCAATTCCATTTCCAACATTCCTAGACATTAAGCAGAGTCTTTCTTGATCTTTTAACTCATGCGCCGCTTAGGAGAACAACAATGGCGTTGCTTGGTTTCAATCTCGAAACAACCTCAAAGACGCATCCATGGCTTCTCCTTCAACTCCAAAACGGATCTAAATCCCAAACAACAAGAACAACTTCTCATCGACGCCATCTCCGAATCATTGCGAAACAGCGAAAACTGGGAGACTCTCTCCACCAAATTCTCCTCCGTCGATTTCTCCGATTCACTCGTCGAGAAAATCCTCCTCCGTTTCAAACAGCCAGAAACCGCTAAACGCGCTTTAAGCTTCTTCCACTGGTCAGCTCGCACAAGGAATCTCCGCCACGGGATATCCACTTACGCCGTCGCGATTCACATCCTCGTCAGAGCTCGATTGCTCGTCGACGCTCGAGCTCTGATCGAATCCTCTCTGTTAAACTCCGATATACTCGATCCTTTGTTGGAATCTTACGAGGTCTCTTGCTCTACTCCTCTCGTGTTTGATTTACTAGTTCAAGGCTACGCTAAGCTCAGGTTATTGGAATCTGGATTCGATGTTTTCGAGAGATTATGCGATCGTGGATTCTCCCTGAGTGTGATTACTCTGAACACTCTGCTCCATTTCGCTGCGAAATCGAATCGGATCGATCTCGTTTGGAGAATCTACGAGCTCGCGATCGATAAGAGGAATCATCCGAACGAGACAACGATTCAAATCATGATCAGTGCGTTGTGCAAGGAAGGGAAACTCAAAGAGACGGTAGATTTGTTGGATATGATTCATGGTAAGAGATGTTCTCCTCCAGTGATCGTCAACACGAGCTTGGTGTTTAGGGTTTTGGAATCGAATCGAATCGAAGAAGGTATGAGTTTGTTGAAGAGATTGTTGCAGAAGAACATGGTTATAGATACGATTGGTTACTCTCTCGTCGTCTACGCGAAAACGAAACAGAGAGATTTAAAGTCTGCGCGGGAAGTGCTCGACGAAATGCTTCAGAGAGATTTCAACGCGAATGCTTTCGTCTACACAGCTTTCATCAAAGTGTATTCCGAAAATGGCGATATCGAAGAAGCGGAGAAGCTGATAACAGAGATGGAAAGCTCCGGAATCAATCCGAATAAAGAAACGTTCGATTTTCTCATCGCGGGTTGCGCGAGATTCGGGAGAGAAGAAGAAAGCTTGAAGCATTGCGAAGGAATGGTAACTCGTGGGCTTGTCCCGAGCTGTTCAGCTTTCAACGAGATGGTCGACAGACTAAGCAAGATCGATGATTTGAAACGCGCGAACGAAATCTTAACCAAGTCGATTGGTAAAGGGTTTGTTCCAGATGAAGATGCGTACTCTCATTTGATTCATGGGTTTGTAGAAGGAGACGATGTCGAAGAAGCTCTCAAGCTGTTCTACGAGATGGAATATCGAAAGATGTCTCCTGGTTTCGAAGTGTTTAGGTCATTGATAGTGGGACTTTGCTCTTGTGGTAAAGTGGAAACCGCGGGAAAGTATTTGAGAGTTATGAAGAGGAGGTTGATGCAACCTAATGCAGAGATTTACGAGGTGTTGATCAAGGCATTTAAACAGATCGGTGATGAAACGAATGCTGATAGAGTTTATGATGAGATGAAATCAGTCAGATCATGATGAACCGGGTGGTTAAGCGTTTTTTTAGTATGACTTCAATCTCAATGTACCAACAACGAGTAGAAATACTGAAAGACTTCACATAACCAACAAAGACAATCTGGAAAATAATCGTAACCCATTAACGCCTATGAATATTTTGTTTCGATTTTGTTTTGGAATCACGTTGTGCAAGTACTCCCTCGTTCACAATGATTCCTTCTATCAATTCGAAAGAAAGTAGGCACTGATACCATTTTTAGGGCTAAGCTCTTGAGTATCTTATGACTAGAGTCGATAATTTCCAAGTATGGGAGGCTAAGCTCTCGAGTATCTTATGACTAGAGTCGATAATTTCCAAGTATGGGAGTTGTATATAGTACCTACTGGCCTTTGATTTGCTTACCACTGTTAGAAAATTCATCTTTCTACGAATGTCATATTATAAGGGTTATATTGATAAATCAGAATGCTCAATCAAAGATCTGGAGCAGAATAGCGTATCTTTCGAATGAAAGAGAGTAGTCAAAGCTTATGAAGATGTTAAGAAGTCTAGAAAACTAAAGATTTTTAGAGATCCATTTAGAGAGAGAAATTTAGAAAGAGTTTTTTATAAAAATTTTGAGGTTTTTATAAAAAAAATGAAGAATGTGACCGACTGGTAAATTAAGGAATCGTTGCGACAACAAATTCATCATGGACGTGTAAAACATTTTATGTCAACAGCCGAGCGGAACAAGCAAGAGGGAAGCTCAAATTAGTTATTGACTACAAACCCTTAAACCAATATCTACAAGATGTCAAATTTTCTCTGCCAAACAATAAGGTCCTTCTGCAACATCTTCAAGGAGCAATAATATTTTCAAAATTTGACCTCAAATCGGGATTCTGGCAGCTTGGTATTCATCCAAAAAAAAGATACAAGACAGCATTTTTTCTGCCAAATCGCCATCTTCAATGGAGTGTTCTACCTTTCGGTTTAAAGACTGCACCCTCACAGTTCCAGCAGACAATGTTACGAGTATTCAAGCCCCTCCTTGACACGGCTTTAATATACATCGATGACATTCTCCTGTTCTCCTCAAGTGAAAAGGACATATTCAGTCTCTCAGACGGTTTCAAAGCATAATCAAAGAATATAGAATTATGCTCTCGGCCTGAAAGATGATCATTGCCAGCCCAACATCGACTTCCTTGGAATGCAGATTGCAAATGGACAGATTACACCAGTCTCATCTAGCTACAACTCTTCTCGATTTTCCAGAAGAAAATCTCACAAAATAACAAGTTCAACAATTCCTTGGAGTAATCAATAATGTAAGCGACTTTATCCCGCAACTTTCACAGTTGACAAGACCACTCCAAAAAATGTTGATGAGGAATCTGTCACAATGGACAATACGACAAACCGAAGCTGTCAAAAGGCTAAAAGTACAGATACATAAGCTACCACCTTTACAGATTCCCTCCTCAGGGACACGTATTCTGCATACTGACGCGAGTGATAAATATTAAGGAGCTATATTATTCGAAGGGATAAATTGAAAACGTCAAATCTAGGGATATAAAAGTGGATGCTTTAAAGATGCAGAAATGCATTATCACTTCACCTTCAAAAAAATCCTAGCGTTCAAGAAAGTCGTCGAGAAGTTTGAGTTCCATCTGATAGGACATAAATTTCGAGTTTCATCGATAATTTCCTAACAGTGGTTAAGCAAATCAGAGGCCGGTAGTTGCCCAATACAGCTCCCTTACTTGGAAATTATCGCCTTCGTCTGTCAACACGACTCTAGTCAATAAGATACTCCAGAGCTTAGCCCTAGAAATGGTATCAGAACCTGGTCTCTTTCGAATTGATAGAAGGATGATTGATTGTTTTAAATGTTCTGGAAAACTTTTCTCACCATGTCTACTT